CCTTTTTTGCGCATTTGAAAACAACGGCACTGCATCTTTTTATTTGCAAAGTTTCATTCAAAAGGTGTAACTTACAAACAAAAAGATGCAACATCAGACAAAGCTCTGAAGATGTTTTTTTAAGCCGAAGTTCTTAGCGTTAGTTTTCTCGGGAAAAAGAAAGAGATCTTATACACGGTAAAAGTCAAATCAGTCTCACAAGGCACTGTTTCATATGCATCGCTTGCTCTATTAACAACTGTGAGGCGGCCCTTTTGTGGTGCCCTCATATGGTCACTCAAACGACTTAGATGGTGGACAAAAAGTATTGCAGATATTTCTGAGCAGCAGAATTTGGCGTAGTTTCGTTACTACTGGCATTTGCTGTCCGAGTGGTGGCAAGTGGGAACCACAGATACCCGTTTTTCACTCGTTTTTTCGAGGGTTGGTCAGAAGCAAGCTCTTTGTGGGCATAACTTCTTGACATGTACCTATATTCGGAATTACAGTTGCAGTGCTTGGTCCACTGGAACCCACTAGTTTTGCAAATACCGGCTAATTCAAATGAGGTTGTATAATTTGACTTCTTCGCGAATATCAGACAAACATAGTCGACTGTTCCTCCATTCCTCTTTCCTCTTGTCGCTGCACCTTGCCAGCAGCAATGCTACACTTTCCGATACTTTGAAAGGATTTCATTGCAGTGCATCACGCTGCTGAGGATACCACTATATTGCAAGAAACTTTACAAAATGTGTCCGAACCAATCGTTTATTCTCCGTCGGCAAAGAAAACCAAATTTGAAGTATTTTTTTTTTTCAGCATTCCTTAATATATGTTGGAAAATTTACAGACGATTTTAATCATTCGTTCCATTCGGACAATGCATCTTTATTGCAGGTTTACGTAGAAGGAGACGCAGCAGCTGAGCCAGACGTTCCATTTACTGTTTTCACTGATGAAAATGAACATCTGGACGTTGTTGAACAAAGGTTCACGTACTGTTGCTGCTATTATGCTCGCAGTAAATTAGGGGATCGCTTTTGATGTGGTAAATTATGATACCAATGGAAAATGCATCATTTTTTCACTACAGACAATATTATATATACTAACGTGATAACTTAGCTGCAACATTTCTACATTATTTGCACTGT